CAATCCGTTCTCTTATTATTAATAACGTGAAATTTTTTATTAATAATGTTAAAAGGAGTAATTAACTTCTCATTTCTAAAGGGTGAATTTCCGTATGAGTGAATAAGGGAAGAAAACTATATGGTACAAATGCTGCACGAATTCGTCTGTAAAACGTACGTACGGATGCGAATCGAATTTTAATAAATTCGACGCTCGGAATTTTTAGTAGACGCAGAGCGGAAGAGAAAAAAGAAATAGCGGCCAGAAGAGAGTGTACGAAGCCAGGGATCGCTATTATGCAAACTTTCATTATCCAAATACTCCGGTGTCTGAACTATTCTACTATCCGAATACCCTTTTCCAGAGAACCGAAGTTCTAGGAATCGGAATTCCTGATAAATTTGCTTTTGACCTTTTTGATTCCGTTGCCAGCCGATCAATAACTCCGATTATAGCATGTAAAACGGTCCGAGAAACGCGACCAACCCAAAAGATTGCGCTTATCGCTCCCTACGTGATAAGATTAAGACGATTCGCGCAACCTGTATCTATCGCTTTCCAAAATGTCGTTCTTGAGTTGGAACGACTAGAGCAATGATGGTTTTAGAACTACGTATAATCTGTCGGAGATTTTGTCACATACGTATAATTCCGTGCTAAAAATGTACGAGATTTTGAACCACTATTACACACGAATTTCACTAGCAACCATAACACGTACAGAAAAGAAAGAAGAAATATTGTAATTGCGGATTTTATGCATTTATGTGAAAAGTGAATACATTATTATTTTTAAAGTGTTCTCAATCTAGATTTCCTTTTTTAAGCAGTTTCATTTTGCGTAAAAATTCGCAACCTCAGTATAATATACAAATTCGAATTGAAAAAAATGTCTACACTTTACGCAGGCGGACCGTACGTTAAAGTACTTAAATTGCAAGCGAATTTTGTGAGTTAGAAGGCGTGTTCCATAATTCGAAAAAAGAGATTCAGGGGTTGCGCGCCTGCATAAGAGGTCGATGGAGTAGCATCCTCGCGCCAGAAACAGTATATCATTCGGGAAGTGAAAAATGTTTCGCTTCTATCCAATTCTCCCTACTTCACGGCTCGCGATAAGAGTATTAGCGGATGATATATCGCGGCGCGTGTTTACACGGATATTAAAATTGTTTAATAAAAACGGAGGTGGAGCTAAATCCTACAGCTATTATTAATATTCGCATAAATAATCAATCGACGACGCTTGGACGTGCGTTCCTTCTCCTCTTTATTTATTGATTGTTCAAGCAATTTCTATCAATCGCACGGTACTACTTCATAAATAATATTGGCGTAGAACGTGTATTTGATTTTATTTCATAAAAATACCTTGTCGTCGCGTAAATACCATCGATAATATTTGAAAATGAACTGAATTGCTTCGGATGTTTTTCGAAGGTTACTTCAGCGCAAACATTTTCTAGTTTTCAGTTTCGACGTAACTACTGTATCAACTCCGGCCACCTTTTTTTAAATATCCAGCGCCGTTTTTAAAGCCAACAACCGTATCTGACTCCGATAAACCTTTCAATCGTGTAACTATCACTGTCTCTACGCCAGCTTTTTTCATAAAATTGATAATTTACGTGTAGTGCTATACTGCTCGCTAATAGCGAACGAGATGTTTCCGTCTTCGTTCGCAAACAGTTGCGTGATAATAAATGAACGGATGAACGTAAGGGCGCGAGAGAGCGAGGGTGTGCTTATGCGTTTCGCGATACAACGCAATAAATTCAAAGCCGGATAAGTTCTCGGTCAAATTAAAATCGATCGCAAGAGAGAGATGACGCACTCCCCTCCCCCTCCCCCCTTGTTCCCGCGTACGCGATTTCACGTTCGATGGCGAAACAGAGTAAAATGCTGTGCACGCGTTACGTTGCACCCTCAAAGAGAAAATCACGCGGGAGACATAATAGGAATGTAGGTACCAGCGAAAGCACTATCCACGGAATTTTCAAACAACATAAGTTAACCGGATATTGCCGGGCACGTAGCCGAGCGAAAAAGAGAGGTACGGTTCGCGAGGGGAGGAGACCTATGGAAGTGCTAAGTGCGATTTCGTCATTATTTTGCTTCGGAGGAACGCCGTTGGAATATCTCGATGGCATCGGGACACGTCGAAATGTCTCCTCCCTTCCTGCTGTTGACCCCTCGCCGACGAATAACCCACACTCCCTGCCCCGTATTAACCTTAATTTCGTTGGGTCCCGCGGTGAATTCGAATCCGGTTATGTTATCTGAACGACCCCGTCGCATGATAATTTTCCAGTGATTACATTGTATCGGGCATCAAACGTTAGCTGCAAAAATTGTCCTACATTATCGAGCAAGAGGTATGAAGAATTGTATTTGCTTTTATTGGCTCATTGCGATGAACAATATTGTTTAAAGCTACCGTCATAACATATTAAGTGGAGAGAACAATTCCCGATAAAATATTATTGAGTCGGGTTTGTAAACTTTTCTACCAACAACATTTTCGCTTTTCGAGTATCATATTTTATCAACACCGGTCCTATCATCACTTTCCAATTATCACGCGGCGGTGTTTATTCAATCTCGCGAAAAACGTGCTTCCGATGGAACATGCAAAATTACAAAAGGGATTAGGTCGATCCCGTCGAACGGGTGAGTTGCTCCGCTCCCCTTCACCGCCGTGAGGCGGGAGAGGCGGTCGGAGCGGGGGAGAAAGAAGAAGGCGGAAGCGGCGAAAAATGGAAGAGAGGAAATTCGACTCGCCGCGGTCTTTAAGCGGTGAAAAGCGGAGAACTGTTTTAAAAACTCGGCGCAAGTTTTATTCCCCTCGGTGTGTCTCGAACTCTCTGCCCGCACAACTTTCGCGCACCTGTACCTACCCCGTGCCGTCGCGTCGCGTCTCGTCGCCTGGTACCGTCTACCAAGAAACTTCTTTATTGAAAACTATTTGTTGTGTTTTCCAATCCGCGACTTACAGAAGTCGTAAACGAAAAATTATACCGCCCTAACGAACCGCGCTTTCCGTGCGGCACGTGCGCCGACCACGGAAATCCGGTTATTGGATGCGGGAGTCTGAAAGCGAATTTATTGAGATGGATGATCTCTGCTTCGACTCGTTACTTTACGATCTGCTAACGTACCATTGTACTATTGTCGCTTTACCGTGATTATCCAATATTTATTTTTTTTATTTAACATTAAAAAAAAGATAATCAATTTCATATAAAACGTTTCCGTTTTAAACGACGATCTCTTTCAGCCTGGACAATATCCTCATTAATTTTTAACAACATACTCGATTCGTTGTTATATCAAGTTTCCCATAACGGCGCACGCAACTATCGCAGTAAACAATTTATATCCACCGTATGCGACTACGTTTCAAACGTGAAAAAATAAATTCACCACGTGCAGCCAGTGAGGTCTGCAATAATAATAACGAAGTTAATCTCGCATGGTGGATCGTTAAAACTCGACTAACTGTCGAGCACGCTCGAAACGAGTACGGCCGCTTGTAATAATTAGGGAAAAATTTGAAAGAACAAAAACGCTAACCACTTTGCCGTGGGACAGATAACGATCGCATGTGAAACGTTAGCGTTAAGAGAGACGAGATTTTTCGATCGTTTACTGCGTATCGAACTCTCGACGTTTAAATTCACTTCTCCACGGCCGAAATTCAACTCGATTCGTTAGTGAAAACTGGAAATTGAAAATCCATTCAAACTCTTCCCTATGTCTCTATTGTCTAGCTATCAAATTAAAAACTTCACCTTCTTTTTACCAACCTGTTAGTGTACAAAAAATTTTTATTTTCATTTTATTATAGAATTTTCGCTAAACTTTGAATTCATTTTTTTTTAGTCAATTCGTATATTCATTAATATTTTATAAATTGAATACGTGAGAGGCTTAGAAAAACAACTATAATGATTGAAATATTTTTGTACTGCGTTGCAATTAAGCAAAATGAAAATTTTGTTAAAAAATATTCACGAAGATAATACTTTCTCTACTTATGCGCGGAGCCATACGATGGGAGCCTAGTATTAACCGGATATCGTTAAACAGAACAACAGTATACTGCTATACGATCCATTATTCCGGGCGGGGCTTAAACTGTCGTTAACGACTTTTCGCGCGTTCCACACGTAACGTCGTTACACGAAACTGTCCTCCTAAGTGGCTCGCCGGCTCGAAACCAACTTTTCTCCCCAATTTTTTTTTCCCTCTCCGAACCCCACCTCTACTCTTCCTTCTTTTTTCATTTCGCCCGTACCTGTTTCGTGAGCCAACGTGAGGGAACATCGCGATTCCGCCCGAAACTTGCCAGTTTTCCGTGTTAATTGCCGCATTATCGCGACCTGTTGTGTTCACCCCCGTCCTCCTCCTTGCGAACTCCTGCGAGATACCGCCCCTACGTTCCGCGCGGTATATACATATAATGTATGCCAGACTTACCTGGAACAGAAAGATAAGAATATGTTAGATTGTTGTTTCATTGCGTAATGTTTACTGGAAACTAGGAGGAATAGCGTGATAACGTGCACGTTCAAAAGGATGGTTTGTGGTTGGATAAGGTTGGCGCGACGCTCTAAAATTGCGGGTATGCATCATTTTAATTCCGTTCTATGTGTATTCGTATTATACGGTAATAATTTATTCCCGTTTTATTATGTATATTATACCCAAACCATTTTTAATACAAGTATAATGATAATAATTGAAATGAAAGGTGAAGCGCAACAGTCGTACTGAAAACAGTTTTACGCGGCCGCAGATTATATCGAAAAGATTATCTTCGCTCTCAGACATGTCTAGAATGAAGTAAAACAAGGTAGAATTTACTTTCAGGTGAGCCTGAACTAACTCGAAATTTATTGGTCCCAAAAGATATATTTCATGATAAATGTGAAAGATATTTGGCCAAATACATGCTTTAGCAACGGAAGAATTGTTTACGTCTCGAAACTTACACTTACGCAAATCTTTGTAATAAATCGGTCCTCCCTGCTTCTATTCTACTATATTACACGATGTACAGTTAGTCTATTTTAATCTGTCAACCGGTTCAAGCAAGCAGTCGTGCTTGTAAAAATCGTGTTACATAATTTACTGTACTATCATTTTATTACGTAAATTGAAATAAATTATTGTGCTGAATATTTTACGTATTTCATTAAAGGTTCATCGTAAGAATTTAATAATCGACAGTACAAGAAAGTACTTCAAAGAAACAGGAGTTTATTAGAAGAAATGTACTCGTCCATTGCTGAACACTCATTAAGTTTTTATTCATTTCCTTATTATTCTCGGTTCCACCTGTTATACTTTATCCTGCGTCGTTCGAGAAGAGCGCAACGTTTCTTCGTTTCTATTTTCCACGAAAGTTCACGGTCCAGAAGTCGGCCAACGCTGAGAATATCTTCCCGTTTCGAATTTGCGCGACGAAATCGGGGTTATTAATGTCAGTGCGCGTTCTAATTTCGTCAAAGGGGTTGGACGACAGAGAGGTGAACCACTTCGCACGAACGGCCGTACCAAGAGATCGAAACACGTAACGTGAAGATAAAATTATTTAATTACCATTCACCTATATCACAGGGTGCGTCAAAGTAAATGTAACTAAATTTAATTTTTCCTCAGATGAAAGTAGAGTAACGAAGCAAAGTAAATTTTATTCCATTGGATTCGCGGTACTTCTTGAATTATGCGTATTTTCATTTTTGTATTGCTTCGTCAGTGTGTGTTTTCAAATTATCGAACAAACTTTTTGATATTTTGGAAATGTATCGTAAAGGAAAAACAGTATGAAATTGTTCGTTTAATCACTGTTTGCAAAGATATTGTTTCAAGAGCAATTAAAAGATTTAAAGAGTTTGGTCAATAAAACGATCGTCCTGAAGAAACTGCACTGTGAGCACTTCCAGAAAACGCAAAATCATCAAGAAAAGCAAAATCCGAGAGTCTCAATGAAAAGTAGTCAGAGAATCATAGACCGATGGACTACTCAGCGTCTGATCAATTTTTGAGGCCAGGGTCTGTACTAAACTGCACAAAAGTATGACATTTGTGAAGCAATCGTGGTATCGGGGATCGGATAGAATTACGCTAAAAGTCTGCGGTTCATCGCCGAAAATTTCAAAAAGCGTTTGGAGTTATTCTTCAAAAGTTGTTGCGCAAATAAAATTATGAATCGCAATCATTTTGCCGCAAGATTATATCACAAATTCTTAAAATTGTTCTTTAAAGAGGTAAAAAATATAATCATATATCATTATATCGACAAATTGTGCAGAAGCAGACAGATTAAGGAAAAGGAAAACATCCATGGAATGCTAAATTGCATGGAAATAAGACCAGCGGAATGGTTAAACGATTTCCTTGAAGCACGACTGGTAAACAAGAAACGTCAATCTTCATAATACAATAGGTATCGATAATCAATGTAGTCAAGAAGATTGTGTCTCGAACCGAACAAGGAGACACGAAATATGATATTCGCTGGTGTGAAATTATTTCATGTTATTGACAACGTCTTAGTTGCAAAATTGTGTAACGAATAAAATTTTTTATTTTATTTATGAAGAAGTATAGACGCAATAATGAGAAAATTTTGTAAAACTTTACTCTCTGTAATTTTTCCTAAAAGTTCATCGCATTTATTACATTGAAATATTGGGCACAGCTTTTTATAGCATTTCTTCAACTTTTTGCATAGATCTTACGATTTATACAAGCTTAAATAGGAAAACGTTCAATCATTCTTGTAATTAGAGAGTTTATCATACCCTGTAATAATTTCATTTTCACATATTACTTGTTGAAGAGGATGAGGAATCAGCGATAATCCAGCCAAGTCTCTTTCATAATCGGCCGATTGGGAGGTTTACGGGGAACGGGATGACACGGAAACGGTTATTCTTCAAACAAGTCGTCGGCAATGTGCACCGCGTGCACCGTAGTCCAGGAACCAGTTCGTGCTTCGATGCGTCGACTCAATGCCGACAATCATTTGAAAGGGAGCAAAAGTTCTTTTGAACGAGTCCAGGAATCCAGCCGGCAGCGAGCAGTACTCCTTCGATTATCGTTTTTGCTCGGCGAACAAAACGGGACATTCCCGGGATAACTAGAGCGATCGAGTTAATACGAGACGGCCAGATAAAGGAAAATGAGGTGAGAGGACGCAAAGACAATCTTCGGTGTTATTTAATGGAGAAAACTGACGCTCGGGTTCTTGGCTACAATCGTGCGATTATTTATAACATTAACAGAAAAAATTCAGTATTTATTTATTCACAAACAGGTCGTCCATTTATTCGAGGAAAAACGTTTAAAATTAATGATAATAATTTTAAGCGAAAATTTCAAAAAGGTGTCTTTTGACATCGCTTGGTAGAAATAGTATTAAAGGATTTATAAAGTACAAGAATCTTTTCAAACCAAAGCAGTATAGAAGAAGATTTTCCATAGCACGAAGTAAACATTATACAGTAACAACAATACTGAATAATTATGGAGGCGGTGCAAAAGACGAAAAACGTGAGAGTGGAAAGTCAAAATCATTCAAGAGCTTGTCAAGGTTGTTAAGCAATCCTTCCCTTAACTAATACACCTCGATACCATCTAATTAAAGGTTTTATAAGGCACGAGAGTTTTAAGGATCCGCCACCATTCTATTTAATATTATTCGTAATGAGCGTGCATAAGTATAGGGCCTGGCAAATTCGCGTTCGCTGAGAACGATATTCTTTTCAACGTCCAGTGATGTTGCGGAGGTGGACCGTGAAGACGTACCGAGGAAACGGCAAACAAGGCCGCAAACGACGTCCTTACGACTGGCAACCTCCTTCTCGTAGCCTCTCTCCTCGAAATGTTACGCTGCCACGGGCAAATTTACTATGCAAATTAGCAGATGTATTTCTGGCCGTGACCAGACCCCGGACCCGGCGAGAATGCTGTCGGAAAGATCGCGGTGAAAAAAAAAAACTCCGTTCCGCAGCTCGACCGGAAACGTCCGGCTCGCAAGAATAATTACGTAATCACGAACGAAACGTCGGAGCAAAAAGTGGTTCGCCCGACTTTAATCCGGACGGTTTTTGCGTCTTACGTGTACCCACACGAACACGTAACCCGAAGACGCGTGAATCACGGTAAAGGAGAGAGACCCGAGCGAGAGCGAAAAATGCGGTAAAAATTAGGGGCGGGAGAGTAACCAAGCGGGAAGAACGAGGGAAAAATCACGAAGGAGGCGGTATGACAAGCGGGATAACGTTATAAAGCGACGAGGCGATCTCGCGGCGATACAAATTCGAAATTACATGCCGCCGCCACCGCCGACGCCACGGGAAACGCCGAAGATAATATGCAAAAGAGAAGCTTAAAAAGTAATTACCGGTGAAGAGGGAGTGCTTGTTAAAAATTGGCGTACATAAAAAGTTTTCTAATTTCAGGATCCGAGGATGGAGACGAAAGGTGCACGCGTGCGCACGCGTAATCGAGGCCTGGAAACACGTCCGCGAGAGAGAGAACCCGTCAGATGAACGACGACAGAGCGACGTATGGACATGGTGTCTATGGGTACGTAGAGATGTGCGCGACAGAGGTGAGATCACTCGAATAATTTAATATACGAATATTTCGCAACTACTCGAATGCTACGAATGAGCTTCGAGTATTCCGGTATTGTGCCCATACGTACTCGCTGACTATAGCTACGGAAATATCTGCGCCGTTCCAGTATTTGAATAACGCTCGGAAGCTTCTATTGTCGTACATTTTTGCTGTTCAATTGATAATAAACTCGGCGTTGCTTTCCGAACGAAATAACATATAAACCGACTAAATTCGTCAAAAGGAAACGTTAATATAATAATAGAGAGACACGCTACGTATATTACAGTAAATTTTCTCGTCTTCACTATACAAGCACGTAACTTCATTAAACTCGTGCTTAGTTATTAAACCGAACAGATAGCTATTAATTATTTAACTGTTTCTTGCTTCATAAACAGATCGATATCGTTGCTAACAAAAACCAACCATTTCACTCTATTCAAACAGATGCTCCTCTTCCGAGAAGTTGTTCGTTTCGCGTGGCACAGTTGTAGCTCATATTTAACAGCACGCATTTAACAAACATACTGCACAGTATCGCCCCATTAACCTAATTAGGTATATGGTATATGGTATTAGAACCATTTGCAATTGTATGCAGGGCCGACGGACAGACGCCAGACCGAAGAAATGGTTGAGCGCACGAACCCCGGGGCGCCAGAGAGCGAGCGCTGCGTTTCGAGTTCTAGATTCCGAGTAGAATTTATGTTTGACCAGCGCTGTCTGTGCTCCACTTGAAATTTTTTCCGCGTAGATTTTCGTTTGAAAAACGGGAATTCACCCTGGGTACCGTAACTCTTTTCGCTCGGATTCTTTTCAACGTTTAATATCACGCGCTCCTACCT